GAATAGCCTCAGAGCTAGTCTGAAGAGAATGGATGAATGGATGAGAGGTTTTCTTCCTTAGCTTTTCCACTTTGGTGGTACCATTGCCTTTAGAGGAAGTCAAGACCCTGAGCCCATTGCCTTGGGGCCTGATGAAGTCTACATGGCACTGCTCCACTTGCAATATCCATTTCCTCAGGTGTTCAGAGAAACCTGAGTTCTCCTTGGTGCATGTCATTCTTCTATTCCTACTGCCCCTCTTCTTTCTCACCCCCAACACACACACACACACACACACACACCTCCTTATTCCCCTATCACTCTCCCACTCCCTCCTCATCTTTTCTATACTGTCATCCATTTCTGTCTGACTTCTGTATATTTTCTCAGTCCCAGCTTAACTGTCAATTCAATAGAGTCTCCTCCAATGTCCCCTCAACCATAGCCAGTTGGTCATTTTCCTGGGAACACCCTCATACAGCAAGATAGCTCTAATATGCTACTGAAATTGCCCATTTTCCCTGACAGCCAAAGCAGGAGGGTCTGTTTTGCTCACCTACAAGGCCTTCCATAAATATTTGCTGAGGGAATGCTTCCTGCAGTATTTGTATGTATAATGGAGACCAGTTTTATAAAGGTGGTCATGGTATGGAATATCTAGGGCAGATCTTGCTTTTAAAAAAATTGATTTTTTTCACTTGTCCTTTGATGAACATCTAAATGACATTTTAAAAACACATTTCAGGAAGCTCTATGCAGAACTGTGCCAGGGTATCGTCGACATAGCCATATCCAGTGTCTTCCCACCCCCGGATATGGAGCAGCAGCCACAGCCTGCTGCGTTCATCAAGCTGTGACATACAGAGTTGCACAGAGCTGCCTTGGGAAACACACGAGGTCCTGCTCCAGGGGAAGGTGAAAAGATTGGACTGCTCCTTATCCAGGCACAACAGGGAAAGAGAGGCACCTCCAACAGATGAGACTGAAGAGAGTGCAAGAAGAAAAGGTGACTGCCGAAAAGCTGGTGGAGCTCTCAATGTGCTGCTGAAACTCTACAAAACTCTAGCAAATGTCTCTGAGGGGAGAGCAGAATATTCTGAGAATATTTTGAGGGGACAAAAGCAGGGATTTGGTTATCATGTGTTCTCATCCTTTGAAAGAGTCTTTTGACCCTTAGGTAACACTGGAGTAAAAGCCCTCCTCCCTGGAGATAGGGTGGCAGGCCAGGGACTTCTGCTTGGTGTCTTTCCACCTGCTGCAGCCTTAGTGCCTTAGCTCTGTGCCCAGCTGCAGCCCTGCTGTTCTGGGACATGGACAGAACATTAAAACATATTGAAGGTTGCCCATGTATTTCCCCTCCACAACACTCTGCTCTGCACCCTTCCCCCACAAGCCCTGGATAAGCATGCACCAGTAGTCCTTAGTTTTGAGAGGTGCACCAGCCTCTCTGCAAAGGCCATTTTCCTTGCCACCTTGTTGGTGGCATGTGGTTGAGCACCTGTCAGGGGTCCTGTGGACTGGACATCAAACAGCATATGCTGCTGTCTGCATGTTTTAGAAACAAAGCAGCAAGTCTAATGAATCTGTGACCATCAAATAAGCATGAGAGAGAGGAAAAAAGGTAACTTGCTTTACTTAATAGGTTTGGGTGGGGTGTCTTTGAAATACGATGTTTCTCAATTCACATTGTTTTAATCAGAATTTAAATGCAGTTTTGCAAATTTCCCTTTCCTGTACCCCCCCCCCACCGCATACACACTACCACTTTTGAACCTTTGTAAAAACCTCTCAGGGGTCAGGGAAGGTAGAATTCCATTCCCCCTCTCCATCTCCAGGTAGCCCTGGCCAGACACAGGTAGGTGGCTTTCCCCTTTGCTGTTCTCCTTGTACTCCAAGACCTTCTGCAGGAGCTGGAGATCCAGGTTCTGTTCAAGAAAGGATTGTCTGCTTGGCCTATGGCAGCGCAGATGCTTTCTGAATAAGTGTATGTCCTCTAAATGGGAAAGAAATAGTTCAGAGCTCCACACAGCATCTTGTAATCTCAATGAATGTGTATCATTAGATTGTTTCCATGTAATATCCTATACTTGTAGGCTTCTCAGAAGGACACATCATTAGCAGGGATGTCATTTGTGTTGAGTGTGAGCAGAAAAACAGCTCTTCTTGCAGTATCCCTGGGAATCACAATCAACATGGTGAAAACTGCACCCTCCCAGAGCTTTAGTGTATTCTTTTTTTAGTACATATTTTCTCTTGTTCATTTCCTATTGACAGGTTCTGCAGTCAATAAGACTCTTACAAAACAGAAGAAAGCATGCCCCTCAAATAGATGAATGTAGAAGCCATGGTGAAAGAAGGATAATGTAAGTTACCTAATAGATAATGCAGGAAAGGCTGATGATGTAAAGGGTTAATTGAAGTGAAGTGAAGAAGGTCCAATGAGGTTGATTCTGGTAGGAATTTGCAATTATAAAAAAAAATTCTGTTGGTTTCCTAGAATAGGGTAACAAAGTTTGCATTCAGAGCAAAATAAATCAGTGACATAAGTCTTCCTGGAGGCCCATCACAGCTGCTGGGTTAGTGTTTGGAAACTTCTGAGAACAGAGTGAAATCTGATCAGATCAAAGGAAGATACACCACCTGTTAAGGGGCATGGGTCCTTGCAAGGTAGGTGAGCTGGTAATGGGAAAGCATAGGGGGTTTTGTAGCTTTTGACAAATCACAGAGCATTTGAGATTTTCCAGCTCTTAACAGTGACAGAGCTAAGAATTTCAATGTTAGGAATCTATGAATCCTGGTGGATTTTCTAAGAAACTTGAGTCCATAGTGTATATGTGAGGAAGTAAGGCTTTAAGAAAAAGAAAAGACTATAAT